AAAAAACGCTCGCAGTGCACGCCGATTGCCCCCTCGGAGGCATCGTGTACGTGCTCTTCACCCAAACAAATAACTCATAGATTGTGTGTCATCAGATGTTAAACAACGTCAACACGGATGCACACATCCTTAAACGCTTTGCTAGTGCTCACCATAATGAGATGAATAGAGATTGCTCTTACCACATAAATGCACGCTTCAAACAAAACAGTCAATGAAGACGAAGAAGTGAATGATGTGTAGCTCCCGGCGCCTATTTATACTATAGTCGCACCGGTAGTGACATCATGGCTGTCGCCGGCCAACGAGTTGGTGTTTTTTCAATGTATGCTTCAGACACGGGTCACGAAGAGGCGTTCCCCATAGCGACCCCTAGAGGACGCAGTTCGAAGTTCCCATGAGAGGGAAGCTTATTTATTCAGCATTCAGATGATGTATAAATCTCAATTTCGAGAAATGGACCCTTATGACTGGTTTTGTGGTCCAGGGTCACATATAGGATATAAAAGCATGAACAATCAAAAAATGAGCACCATTCAAACACTGCAACTGAAGTGGATGGTGACTCAAACGTTCCCTTTTACTTTTGTCGTATGGAAAAGAGCACTCGGACACTGACAGTGAGGACAACTTCTTCATCTTTGTAACTTATTTAAAGGTCTTTCCTACGGAAAGATCGCTCTGTGTCCAGAGAGGATGGTCGTGAGATACAGTTGAGCAGGACTGTGTGACGATCGGGAAGATTTCATCACTCTTCTCAGGATAAACAGAGAGAGAGAGCATCTTGAGTAAATGATGACGAGGGAGAGCCAGGAAACGGAGGTAATTCCTGAACGGCAGAATTAAGAGAGAGCCATTAGAGAGCTGTCAGAGACGGCTGGAGACAGAGGAGGGTTATGCAGAGTTAAAGCAGTGTTTGCTCGCGGCCCGTGCCGTGTTTACCCTCTCCGTGTGGAATTCCTGAGCCCCTCACTCTCTCCGCCACTCTGCATTCTTGTGGTTGGCCTGTGTGACATGGGAGAGTGTGGGAAAAACAGAAGCCGAAAAGCAAAAATTCACGGGGTGCATGGAAACACTGAACCGACAAAAGAGTGGAAGAGAAACGGAGGATAAGAGACCGATGAA